TGTGCCCTCCTGTCTAACCCGAAGGACCCCACACGCTGCCCAAAGTGCCTGTGTGAGCCTTACACATTATACCCATAAACTGACCTACTAAAATATTACAGTTGTTATTGTACGATAGCATATACATCAGATTACTAAAGCAAAATCAAAACAATTAAAATACTACATTAGAATGGGGGGTGCCCACTGTTATGTGTCCATCAATATGCCCAACAGAGTCCATTAACAAGGCCAACATTACTGTGGGTCCCACACTCTCCCCTCGAAAATAAATGTCGCCTCGACATTAAGGATTTCCCAGAGTACTTTGGTCTTCAACTGGTAAGTTATAGTGGTAGGTTGTATGGGAGCCAGTCTTTCAGGATACTTTCTGTTTAACCACATTCATTGACATGACATGTTATCTCCCTTTTTATGCCATGTGTCAGCAACAGACATCACTGGCCAGGTGATATCTGGAACACTAGTCCGCTACTCATGCGGGCTATGTACCTTAGACTGAAAAGTTTTGACCCTTTTTCTACCCCATAACCCATTACACAGAGTCACATATACTACTGTATGCCTCACATATGTCACAGTGTTCTTCTATGTGTCAGTGGTCTGTATTCTGGTACTTCACTCAAACTTACATTACTGCATGAATTTAACATTAACATTTTCCTCCAGCCTAAAGTGCTACTATGATCTCTTCTTCATTAAAACTATCACAACAATAAACTCAACATGTGACTATGAACTTGTGTCTTTCATTTTTAGCTGTAAATATCACTGATCTCTGTATGTAACTGATGGTTGACCTAATGTGTTGTATGTGAGTGTCTTGGGTGGATTTCTTTGTTGAAAAGGATATTTTTGGGGGAGGATGACAGTGGCTCTGGATCTCTCTCATCTACTTCATCAGATGACGACACTCGCTCAGAGTTTATCTCGTCTGCTTCATCAGACGACGACACTGGTTCCGCCACTGCTGTTTCTCCATTGTCCACCTCTGGTTCCATCCTGCATTCTGCACCCTGGTCTGGCCACTCAGCATTTTCACCATTTCGCTCCAGTTCTTTGTCAGCTCCTTGTGGCTGAAATTCCTCTGCTTCCACTCTGAGCTGACTCCTGACCTGGTCAAATGTTTCTGCTGGTCGTGTGGTGATGAACCCCCAGTTACTTTCATCCTCTGAACTGCTGTCAGGGTCTCTCTCCTTTTGCTTTGTCTGCCGTTTACTCCAATAATTCACTCTTGGCTTTCTTTTTCCGTTTTCTTTGCGTGCTTATCCTCTTCAATGGGCAGGAAGTCGCAGGGTAGCAGCAGGTTCCTGCGCAGGACTCTAGTCTTTCCAGAGCCTTTCTCAGGTCGTACTGCATAGACAGGACTATCCTTGTGTTTCCTCTCGGTTACGACATGGACTTGCTCCTCCCAATAAGACCTGAGCTTCCCGGGTCCCCCTCTGTCCCTGAAGTTCCTTACTAGTACTCTGCACCCTGGCTGTAGTTCTGCTCCATAAGTCTTCCAGTCATACTGCTTCTTTGACCTGTTCTGCTCCTTCTGAGCTGTCTTCGATGCCAGCCTGTATGCCTCTTGCATCCTCCTTCTCCATTTACTAGCATATTCACTGAGAAGTGCTCTGGTCACCTGGTGTCAGGCCAAACATGATGTCCACAGGTAGTCGAGGATTTCTGCCATAGAGGAGGTAATATAGAGCAAATCCTGTTGCTTCACTGCGCGTACAGTTATGCACATGCACGACCTTGGCCAAGGAGGTCTTCCAATCAGACTTGGCTTCCTCCGTCAGGTTTCTGAGCATAGAAAGGAGTGTTCGATTAAATCTCTCTGCCTGACCATTTCCAGCTGCATGGTATGGTGTTGTGCGTGAGCCTTGGATGCCACAATATTCCTCTAACTTGGAAAACAACTTATTCTTGAACTCCTTCCCTTGATCATGATGAAGCTTGGCAGGAAATCCAAACTTGAGCACAAAGTCTCCAAAGATCTTTTCAGCTGCTGTTTTTGCTGACTTGTTGGTGCATGCATATGCCTGAACAAAGCACGTAAAATGATCTATAACGACCAGAATGTACTCATATCCTCCTTTACAGCTTTCTAAATGCAAGTAGTCGATCGAAACCATCTCAAAGGGGTATGTTGTTATTACATTAACCAGTGGTGCTTTAGTTGGCTTGTTCGGACGCCTCTGTTTCAGACAGCTACACACGTTCGTCACGTAGTGGTCCACATCCCTTTGCATGTGCTGCCAATAGAATCGATCACGGATCGAGTGTCCTCTCCACTCCGAGGTGCCCCATTTCCTCATGTAGTAGTAGCCACTGACTTCCTATACAGGATACTATCTTCATTGACATATAACTTGTTTCTCTCCCTTGCTAGGGCCGAGATGTCATCACGTCGGTCTCTCCCTCTCAGATGAGGCCATTGTCCAGTCATGACATACTCTCGCACCTTGCCAATGACTGGATCATCCATCTCTTGTGCTTTCTTTAGGTTCTCAATGGAGATTTCTGCCACAGGGGATGTTATTCGCTCTTGCTCCACATCGGTACACGCTGCAGTTATGGTGGCAGGACACATCCAGGGCTCCCATTTGCAGGATTCAAGCTGGAGTGCCTGGGTGACAGTCGTTATTACCTCTGGCTCCAATTCCTGTGAGCATGTCTGGATGTACTGCTCAATATCCAGTGGCATTCGTGACAATCCATCAGCGTCTCCATTAACTTTACCTGGCCGATACTTGATTGAGAAATTAAAGTCTGCTAATTCAGCAATCCATCGGTGTGTTGTAGCGTTGAAATTCGCTGTGGTTAAAACGTAGGTTAAAGGATTATTGTCGGTGTAGACAATGAATGAGGGTGCATAATACAGGTACTCCCTGAATCTTTCACAAATTGCCCACTTCATTGCTAAAAACTCTAACTTTCCAGAATGGAGGTGGTAATTCTTTTCTGGAGCAGTTAGTGTCCTCGACCCTGGTGTTGTTCAGTCCAGGTGATCGGCTGACTTGAAGGGAGCTGGTCTGATATTTTGCGTTTTCCCCTGCTCTTACTGGTACTTGCTCCTGGGCCCCTACTGCTTGAAGCCTTCTCAGTGGATAACAGACTGTACAGTGGTTTGGCAATTCGTGAGAAGTTTGGGATGTATGGACGATAGTACGACAGGAACCCTAGCATTTTCCTGAGGTCTCCCAAAGTCTCAGGTTTGCGATCTTTGAGCGCTTTCACTGCCGCTATCTCAGCAGGATCCATGCAGTAACCGTCTTTGGACACGATCTTCCACAGGAATTTCACCTTGTCCTTGAACACTTCACATTTTTTAGCTGTCAGCTTTACAACAAGTGCTTGATAGCGACGTAACACCTCTCTCATGTCATGCAGATGGTCCTCAAAAGACTTGCTGTGGACAAAGTTGTCGTCCAAATATGGCTGCAAAGTTTTATCTCTCAGACCCGCAAGGCACTCTTCCATGCTACGCTGGAACTCAGCTGGAGCCGAGGACAGGCCAAAGGGAATCCTTACCCACTCATACAAGCCCCAAGGTGTTATAAAAGTGGTAAGTGGTCTGCTACTCTCTTCAAGGAAACCCTGATGGTAAACCTGGCCCTGGTCCAGTACAGAGAACCATGCACTTCCACTCAGCCTGTTCAGCATATCCTGCACTCAAGGGATGGGGTGGCGATCGGGAATCGATTTTTTATTCAACTCCCGGTAAACCACACACAGCCGCAAACTTCCATCCTTCTTGCGCACACAGACGATGGGTGAGGAGTATGGGGACTGGGACTTTTGGATCCATCCTCTGTTCAGTAGGTCCTCCAAATACTCCTTCACTTCCTTGTGCAGCGGTTTGGGTACTGAGGTGTAGGTGCGCCTTACTGGGGTTGTGTCGCTCAGCCTGATTTTTAACTGCAGAGATGGAATGTATCCCACATTGTTCTCGTCTTTTGCAAATGCAGAACATTCTTCTCGTAGCATCTGTCTCACCTTTTCCTGCTGATCTGGAGTCAGGTGATCAACTGACACTGGTGGGTCCCATGTCTCCGACTGTCTGTGTTCTCTTTCGTGGTTTTCAGGTGCGCTGGCTGTGCCGGCTTTGCTGGCTGCGTTTTCACTAGCGCTAGCTGCGTTTTCACTAGTGCTGGCTGGTCTCACATCTACTGGGTAAATAGCCTTGACTTGCTGTAGCTGTCCCAGAACTGTGCGGGGAGTGAGAATGATGTCATGGTTGCTGTCATTAGTGACAGGGATGGCCACCTTAGACCAATTTCCCTTCTGCAGGCAGACTACGGTTTCAGTAATATTCACCCCCTCGGGCCATTTCGGGACCTCCTCTGGTTCAAAAAGGACTTCCTGTCTTGTGGAGAGGGGACCTGTCCTCACTGTACACTTGACCTCTCTAGTCTGGCCTGCTGGAATCACTGTCTTTAATCTCCCAACTTTCACCACTCCATCTTTGTCATCCTGGTCACTGCTCTGCACTAAGTGAATCAACACACTTGCCTTTTTACAGTCAATGGAGAAGGCTTCTCTCACCACAGCAGGTGTAACCCTGGCTCACTGGAGACAAGCACTGGCACAAGCAGCTCTGGCTGTGGGCCCCTGCTAGATCCTAACTCGAACTTTAGCTCAACCCAGCCTGCAAATGGTATTGGTGTCTGGTTTGCTGCTCTACCCACAAGAGTCTCATCCTCACCCAGCAGTTCATCCATGTTCCGTAACCGGATGTATGCACCAGGTATGGAGCAACGACGATCAAGCCATGTGGTGTGGTGTGGAGAACCGGGGTTGAAATACAGGCAGGGATGAGGTTGACTACTGGCAGGTGTGGCAGGCTGACGAGGTGGCTGATGAGGTGCAGGTGCGGGTCGTTGGCTGGGTTCAGGAGCAGAGGGAGAGAGAGCACACACAGGGGAGGAAACACAGGGAGGCAGGCAGGGAACAGAAAAACAAGGAAAAAGCAGAATAACTGATAAAAAGGAGAAAAAAAACAGGACATTCACCGTCAGCTGGGCTGCCACCACAACAGAGACACTGGATGACGTTCTAAAACTGTTGGATAACTTGTTTCACAATTACTTTATGTTACCTTGAGAAAATGCTGTTGTCTAAGTCACAACATTGAGCTGTATATGTAGGCATCCTGTACAGTAATACAATGTCTTTGTCTTCCTGCCACAGGGGGGACAGAACATCTTTATGACTGGCTGCCCTGCACAATGTGGTATGTTAAATAGCTTTTGGTTGTGTATAGACTGTTTGTTATGGACTGTTTTTATTTAGGGGATGGTTGAAAACTTTGTTCCAGTTAAACTTTATTTGATAATCAGTAAATCCACTATCAGAATTTAATATGGACATAAATCACATAAGGAGAGTTAACATATGGGCATTAGCAAAGTTAATAGGCTATAGAGACTTTGATAAAGGTAATGTATACCTGTATAACAACAAGGAAAAGAGAAAGGATATGATATATACATATTTACACATTTAGCAGTAATTTGTAGCCTTATATTAGTAAGTTTAGCCTATTACAAACAACGTGAGTAGGCACCGTAAATGTTTTAATTTATTATGGGTGTTTTTCATATATCATTGACCATACACTACCATACACTGTTCATATCATTGACCACCTAATTTACATAGCACCTTAATCCTTACTAACAAAATGCAGTATTGTGTAGGTACTGAGAACTGCAAATGCTAACATTACTAAGCACACAGTAGCAATTTTATTTAAGTCATGTCGGCTGCACAAACATTTTGGAATTCTAATAAAACAATATACAAATGCCTAAAGCTCTGTACTACGTTACGTAACTCCCGCCGAGATTGAACATAACCCCGAAACGCGTGTATATAGGCCTACTTGCTAAAATCGCCTTAATAAATCACCACCTGTTTGCTTTTTTAAGATAAACCACATAAATTCAGTGTAATATATGCTTCTGCTGCAGTTAAAAATTTAGATATTCTCCTGTTATGTGTTTCTATGAAAACCCTATTTTGCAAACTACCGTGATGCTGATTTGTTTTGTTTTTCAGCTCTGAAAATATCTAAAATAAACCAAAATCTTTACTTTTGAAATTCCCCAAATTATGCAAAACAATATTTCTACAAACTAAGTGTTGTAGTATCATCAGCATGAGATCACTGATACCTGGTGTGATTTTTGAGACACTACAGCCTTTAACAGTGAAGTTATTGAATATTGAAAAGAGACGTACCTAATATTAGGTATGCAAAAGTCTTTTTTACCCTAAACAAAGTGTTGTAGTATAACCAGCAGTATATCATTAATGTGTAAGGTGATTTTGAGGGCACTATATTGTGTAAGTGTGAAGTTATTGAATATCTCTGCAGAATGTGTTTTCGGTGTTGCACTTTGTAGACGGTCCCTGCACACTCGTCTCACAGCCGGCTGCATGTAGAGACCAGTGTCAATTGTTCTGCTCCTAGGAAGACTCATTTATGTGAAAATGTACTTGTAGCTCGTTGTCTACTTAACTACGATAATAAAGAGGCATCGTTTGTGTTTTAAACACGTTTTGCTAACGAGTTATTGATCCCGGAACTTTACTGAACTCAGGATTAAATGGCACCTTTCTGTCTTTTCTCATAATTACGAGATCCGGATCTCGTTATTATGACATCTTATCTCGTTATTATGACATCTTTTCTCGTAATTACGACATCCTGATCTCGTAATTATGAGATAAGGCTTCCAATTTTTTTTTCTTTGGTGAATGCAATGCGCTTCCGTAGTTATTATTATTCCTCATGTGTTAATGTAAAAGCAGGATTTTACTTCACACTGCTTGTTTCGTCAGTCTAAACCTAAAAATGTTTAAAAATATATATTAAACAATCAAAAGGAAAACAGGAAAATCTTCACATTTGTGAAGCTCAAACCATGAAATGTTTTTACATGACAGGACTTATTACATTATCTAAATAGTTGCCAATTAAAGTTCTGTTGATCAACTAATGTACAAGCTGTACTTGTATAAACTGTGAGTACCTGAGTACCTTAATTTATACTCTTCATATTGTTTGTGTGCAAAACGCCTCCTTTTTAAAGTAACTAGTAACTAAAGCTGTCAGATAAATGTAGTAAAGTAAAAAGTACAATATTTCCCTTTGAGATGTGGTGGAGTACAAGTACAGTAGAAGTGCCATTCAAGTACAAAGAGAACAACAGCTTTATCACGCAGTGTAGCTGTGAAAAAAAGTCTGTATCAAGTTGCTGCTAATGCAAACTAAACATGTCCTGTTGCGCAGCTTCACATTAAAAGCATTTAACTGGGGAAACACTAGTTGACTTTTATTTTGAAGTAATCACAGGTAATGCAATCTGTTTGTAAGTGAGATTTACGCTCAAATGCGTCTACACAAGACAACCGTAATTTTCAACAGTTTTCTTAGTTACTGTCCACCACTGAAGAATTTACAGGCATATTAAGTTCACACAACAGACAAGTCCATCATATGTGTTTATTATAGTGGTGCATGTGTATGCATCACAACAAAGATATTTATTTATACAGTTTTACAGGATGTAAGTCAAAAATGATTGGATTTGTCTGTCTGTCTGTATGTACATTTAGATGATGTCATATGGAAAACATAAAAGAAAAACATTTAGGGTTTCAATGCTATTTGACGGTATTCAGTATGCTTTTACTACAAATAACTACAAAATAATATGGGTAGTATGTGCATATTGCAAACAAATATAAATCCTCATATTATGGAAATACCAATGTACATTTGAATTATACTATATTATCTAAATTACACAGACTGCCATTTTTCTATTTTTTTTAAATAAAAACACCTACAGAATCTAGCAAAACTTTCTTGTAGATACTTTGGTACAGCTATTTAAAACAGAGGCAAGGCAAGTTTTTTTGTGCAAATCAGTTCCTCTGTGTTGTTTGGTAGTGGTCTTTAGGTGTCTTCTTCCTCAGACTCGGGGCTGGTGAAGCAATTGTCATCCCACTCCTCAATGTCCTCCTGTAAGGAAAGAAAATCACATTCCATAGTGGCTATACTGCTGAATGCATTAACCGCCTGTTTGTGTTGACTTCTAAGTGATTGACCCCTCCGATTGAGGACACTGTTGAGCCCATGTGTAGCGTCCTCTGTCAAGTCACCGAAACCTGTGGAGGAATAGTGGAAAAAATAGAAAGAAAGATGACACATTAAACAAAACATTTGTAATTTGTAATGCTGAGTTTGCAACTTCCACATAACCTTTTAGTCATTATATTTAGTGTATTTACAACTTCTACATTATGCACACCGGTGCCAAATAGCTGGTCAGCACAGTGCCTGATCACAACTCAAAGTATAAAGTAGAGTTCCCTGGATCGAAAAGGGATTAAAATTTGTAAAGACAATGTAGAGTGATGCCATAGGCTTATACTATGGAAATTAACTAAAAGAACAACAAGCTAAACTAGCAATTCATACATATCATACCATGTTCATGTCTCTCCCATGGTAGGATGTATCCCTCTGTCAGACTGCAAGCCAACTCCTCGTCAATCGGACCTCCTTCCACTACGGTGTTGTATTGCAAGACCTTTTCACAAAGGTTCTTCTTTAACTCTTCTTTCTTTGTCTTGCCAGGTTGCTCTCTGCAAATTGAAACGAAAAGAAAACTGTGTCATAATCCCAGAATATTATTGTTTTTTGAAGTGTTATTAATTTAAATAACTTGATTTGACAACAAAAAAATGCGGACGATACAGATCTTGCTTCTTGCCTTGTTGCCTTCTATTATTTGTATAAAGGTACAGTCATTAACAGATGTGTGTGTGTGTGTGTGTGTGGGTGTGTATACATATATACAAACATATATATATATGTTTGTATATATGTATATACATAGTGTACTTTACATGTTTTACCTGTGACTGCCCATTGTCTGACATCACACACCCACTGCTGTATTGTGTCCTGATCAAGGTTGTGCTCCTTCTTGATGTTGCTGAGGCTGGCAGCTTCCACCTTTGCCCTCTCTGTCTATCTTTTAAAGAGAAAAAAATAACAAAATGTCAGAACAAAAGCTCTACGCACCACCACAATGCAAAAACCTCCAATTTTACTTGAGCTTTCGGTACACATTAAATATCTGTGTAGACTACCAAGCAGACTTGTGGATAGGAGAAAAATGTCTGTACAACAGTGAGGTTACAGTCTTGCAAGATAACTGACCAATACTAAGCACTACCCTCCCCTCAGTTACATAAAATTAATAAACCATGATTATCAAAATAGTTGCATACTTATTTTCTATAACATGATTAAACAATTAATCCACAAATAGTTTCAGATCTAGCTGTAGTTGGTGCACTGAGGGAAAGGGGCAGTGCTTAGGCTCTCAATTATAATTTACCCTTACTTTGAAATATCTGTGGGCTAACACTTGATGAAGGTTGTCCCACTTTCTTCTGTTCCAACCCATGGCCTGTCGTGTTAGCATGTTCACTCTTCCTAATGAAAAAAATAATGCACCCACAAGCCAAAAAGTAAGCTTTCACATCCAAAAGGCAATAAGAGAAACCCAACAGACATGCCTAGACCTTATCACTAAAAGTTAGTTGAACTGATTACAATACAATGACAACTTTCGTTAGAAAAGAACAGAGAAACTTTGTTTTTTAATTCCCTGTAAAAACACTATTAAGTATTTATTTAGGCTACCACAGCGTGTAGTGTAAGTGTAACACCAACCTGCCTTTGTCATGTATTTTGTGACAAGTGCTGCCCTGGAGAGAAAGCTGTTCAAGAAAATACTACAATTAAATTTTGGTCTCCATTACATTAAAATAATACCCACACCATAGATCTTAAACTTGTAGTTTATGAGAAAACATGTGTACTGTATTATCCTAGGAATTTAGGACCTGGACTTGAATGTTATATTTACATTAGCACAAACAATTATCTCTAAAACATCTCATGGCACAAGCTTTTTTTTTGGTGGGGAAAAACAAAATCCCTGTCCTACAAATTTGAACAAGCAGCTGAAAAGCAGTTGGTGAAAGATAACACAGCACGTTCTATTATCCGACCCATTATTTCCCTATAGCTACAGCCATACCAGACTTAAAGTTATTGTATGTACCTCACATTTTGCTGTATGGGCTTTGGCATGCATGATGCTCAGGAATGGCCTCATTTCTGTCAATGGCAGAAGCTCTGGTAACCCCTCTGCTACTTTGTTAAGGTAGGGCCAGTACCTAAAAAGCAGGAGCAGCATAATGTGAGTGTAACAAAGATCCTTTTTTAATTGAAATCTTAAATGACTAACATCAGCTGAGAAACAAGACATTTTAATCATGGAGTTGAGTGGACAATGAGGATTACCTGCATGTAACATCCATACAGAAGAAGGTAACATTTGCCTTCTTTGACATCTCTTTTTGAAGAAACATCGGATAAGCAAATATTTCTCCACGGTAATGGTTCAGTCCTCGTAAGAGACCCATGTCTGATAAATCAGAAGAAAATCTAGTGGTTAAGAATCAACTGACCCACTAAGGCCTGGCTTAAGCACACATCTCTGTCATCTGAGTGCCTATAACAAAATATATGATATATATAATACTTGGCCACTAATAATAGGATAGATAAATATCACTCAGCATGCAAACGTGTGAAATGCTTTAAATTTTTACTCAGAATAAGACTTGGACGGCCATTATTAAAACTTATTAACATTAACATTATTTAAACTCAAATATCACACACACACACACACACCTGCAAACTGCAACTTTAACGCCCTCCTCGTCTATCTGAGCACCAGACCTGTTGGACATCTCTCTGCCAGCAGTGAACTTGGCAGTACTGCAGACAGCACTGTCATTTGCCTATAAAGTCAGTTTATTACACATTTTAAGATACATAAAAACCCCAAACTAAAACTGTATAAACAACTATTATAAAAAAACAAATTAAATGTTCTTACACTTCTCATGTTGCCTCTGACAAGGTCAACAAAGGTAGAAACGTCCTCGTCCTTAGCCAGGAACAAGCCCTCATATATGGGTGGCTCCTCAGTCCTGTCCATGATAAGATAACATGTGTCAGTAGTACTACATTTACTATTTGTTAAAATGTATGTTATGATCACTGAAAGACAACCCGAAGGGCTACTATTTGTGTTTGACAAGTCTAAAATAAACTTCTGAAAAATACCTATACCTACCCTTTTGACTTGCTGAAGCGGTAATGTTTTCGGTTTCCATCAGAGCAGACAGCCAACATGTCTGGAGAACATGCTTGACACTCAAAATGATGGACCTGGCACATATCCTCTTCTTTGTACTGACACAAGGTAAACTCAAAAAAGCTTCGCTGAAACATATCTGCACAGATACTGCCTGCCTGCATATTAAGAGCTGTTTGGTTAGGATTTTTTTTTTCTGCAGAGCATGAGGGACAAGATTTCTGAGGCAAGCAGAGATTGTATCGTCCTGTGAACAAGTGAATATACTGTAGTAAAGACTAAAATAATTTCAGTAACCAAATTGCAACAGACTGCCTTCTATACAGAGATTCAAATATATGATATATTAGCTATTTGCCTGGAAATGACATGGTGATAAAAAGCTTTGCGTTGCACACAGTGGTAAAGTTCTATTGTACAATAATACTTGCACAAAAAGGAGGGCTTTCAGAACAACATACCATTGATGGTGACCACAGAAATATGCTTCCCTGGAGTGATTGTGAGGTCATGAGTGCATTCACAAATTGACCCTGGTGCAGGAACAGGCAGCTGACATACTGCAAAACAGAAGTTATGAAGGGTGTATTTACAGCTTCTCTTCGGTCCCTTAGATGCATTTCCCAAAACCTCATTTTCAAAATAGTGCTTTAAAACCCAACAATTAATCCAAACTGGCCACACCACTATTCCAACTGTAACTGTCACTATGTTGAAACAACATGTAAATGCTTCAGCACATTTTGAAAAATATTAAGACGCAATTGACTTAGCTGGGCAAAGATATGCTGGTCACAACTGTCAAAACCAATCAGACTTTTGTTATTCAGCTATTAAATTTCACACTTGCACTTTAGAGTTTTGAGAATAAGTTTAGAATGAGATTAGCATTTTAGAAAAAATGTCTAAGCCATTTAAAAACACTGTTAAATATAAACATGTGCGCTCTCTACAACAACATTTGAGGAATTACACTATAAGTATGAGAAAATTTGATATAATGCTAATTTTAACATACTTTGTTCACAAAACTGAGCCTGGCCATTTTCATTGACCACCACAGCAGTTGTAGGGGGAATGGGCTCAAGGAATCCTTGGAACACAGCCTCTCTGTCATAGAAGACATTTCTCTTGTGGGCCTCCATGTCACAGGTAGCACAGAGGAACTCCATGTCCAGTGGTACACAGCCCAGGCACCTAATCACAGCTTCTACAGCACAGCATCTGTGACAACTCTGCATGAATACTCTCTCGGCTGAGAGCTTTGCATCAAAAAGCACAGGCCTATCAGTTTTCATTCTCACATCTGTGAGAAGCTGCCTTTGTTCAAGCAGAAACCATTCTGCCTGTTCCCCCCGGAACCTGGACTGCAGTTATGGTGTCCCTTAACTCTTGGAGTCTTGTTTCTAAAAAACAAAAATATACATTCACTTGTCCTTAAAAGGTCTATACTCATGATAATAATCACACACAAGTATATATCAGTGATACTCTGAGTCTGTAGTGGAATGAGCCTCTGTAGTGTGACTGTGAGTGGTTGTGAACCCCGCCTTTCGCCCGATGTCAGCTGGGATTGGCTCCAGCCTCCCGTGACCCTGTACGCAGGATAAGCGGTTGACGGATGAAAACTAAAGTAAAGATTATCAGTCGCATGCTCTTAGTGAGAACAATTTTCACAAACATTGCAGCACCATTTTGTCAAAGTGGTATCTGACTCTCATTTTATAATACGTGTAAGCACCAAAACATTATTTAATGAATTATCTTTATTCCTGGATACAGTAATCATGTAATAGTAAAGAACAAACCTGATCCAGGCAGTGTGTTTCCCGACGTTTCTCACGTCTGCCTGTGACCATTGGATTAGTGAGCGATCTCTTCCTGCTTGTCCTCATTTTTCTTTGAGGAAAGGCAGGATTTTCCATGGCAGCCTGTATATTTGCAGAGCACTTATATCAGCAGCACTTATAATAGAGCATTATTCAGTAGTTGTATAAAAGGGTCTAACTAACCCTTTACATCACATCTATAAACAGCAATAGCAATTAGGTTTTTCAGACCTAGGTATTTGCTTATCATGACAGGCCTTACCCTGGCATCATGGAGATGAGCATCACTAATTAATACTGCCATGAGGATCCTGGCATCATTGGGATCATCAAAGATCCTCACATCAGAATTGAGGGACATCGCATACAAATACAAACAATACAGATGCAATATAAAAACAATACACAAAATGAGAGAGAAAGAGAGAGAGAGAGAGAGAGAGAGAGATTGGCTCTTAAAAGTGACATTGTTTTGATTTGTGTGCGTGTATGTGCGTGTTGGTGAAGTCAAATCCTCTGCAAAGACTCCAGGTCCACTTTTTTTTTTTTTCCCAGTCCATCCCTGATTGCGGTAATTCCCCTTAGTTACACTTCTGACATTTACTTTACACTTTGAATAAAACTTTAACCAGGGTTAACCAATGCAACAGCACAACAGTCTTCACAACATAGACAAATACATGAGTTTAAAATGATTTTGGTAGCTGGCGGTGCCACAATCCAGCTGTGCCGGGGACAGCTG